CTGCCATTGCTGGAGGGATGGAGTTTCAAAACAGGGAGGCTAAGCTGCAGCTGTATAGGGTCCTGGTGAGGCCACACCTGGAGTACTGTGTGCAGTTTTGGCCTCCTTACTTGAGAAGAGATATACTAGCACTGGAGGGGGTGCAGAGGAGATTCACTCGGTTGATTCCAGAGTTGAGAGGGGTGGATTATGAGGAGAGACTGAGTAAACTGGGATTATACTCATTGGAATTCAGAAGAATGAGGGGAGATCTTACAGAAACATATAAGATTATGAAGGGAATAGATAAGGTGGAGGCAGGGAGGTTGTTTCCACTAGCAGGTGAAACTAGGACTAGAGGGCATCGCCTCAAAATAAAGGGAAGCAGATGAAGGACTGAGGTCAGGAGGAACTTCTTCACCCAAAGGGTTGTGAATCTGTGGAATTCCCTGCCCATTGAAGCGGTTGAAGCTACCTCACTGAATGTTTTTAAGGCAAGGCTGGATAAATCTTTGAACAGTAAAGGAATTAAGGGTTATGGTGAGCGGGCGGGTAAGTGGAGCTGAGTCTCAAAAAGATCAGCCATGATCTTATTAAATGGCGGGGCAGGCTTGAGGGGCCGGATGGCCTACTCCTGCTCCTAGTTCTTATGTTCTTTGAGTCAATACTGGTCAAAGATGAGCAGCTAATTATTCTAATCCCATTTCCCAGTGCTTGGTCGAATGCCTTGGTATCGTCAGTGTACATCCAAATACTTCGATTTCATGAAGGATTCTACATCACACCTCTATCTACATCAATGGAGCTGAGGTGGAGAGGGTTGAGTGCATCAAGTTCCTAGGAGTGATGATAACTAACAATCTGCCCTGGACCTCCCACGTAGATGTGACAGTCAAGAAGGGACAACAACACCTCTTCTTCCTCAGGAGGCTTCGGAAATTCGACACATTCAGAAGGATCCTCGCCAACCTTTTCAGATGCACCATAGAAAGCATTTTGCCTGGGTGCACAATGGCTTGGTACAATAACGTCTCTGCCCAGGACCATAAGAAATTGCAGAGAGTTGTGAACACAGCCCAGTACATCAACCCCCATCCATGGATTCCATTCACAGTTCTCATTGCCGTGGAAAGGCTGCCCAACTCATCCCCGGGAATGCCATCTTCCAACTTTTTGCATCAGGTGGAAGATAAGGAAGCTTGAACCAGATTCAAGAACAGCTTCTTCCCTGCTGTTACTAGACTGTTGAATGTTACTCGACTCTCTAATTTTAAATCTAATGTTGATCTTGCCTTTGTGGACTCCTATGCAGCCATAACCCTGTCTAAGCACCCTATGATCTGTATATCCTGGTGTGTTATGATCCGCTCCTACTGCTCACAAAACAAAACTATTCACTGTTTTCTGTGCGAATAAAAAAATCCTCACATGCCCTCTCAACCTTTTGCACCGACCTTGAATCTATGCTCCCCGGTCATTGATCCTCCAACCAAGGGGAAAAGTCTATGCCCCTTATGATTTTATACATCTCAATCAATCATACCCCTACATTTCAATCAAAACCCTACCACCCCTCTGTCTCCTCTGCTCTAAGGAAAACATCCCAGTCCGTCCAATCTCTCTTCAATAACTGAAACTCTCCAGCCCAGGCAACGTCCTGGTTAATCTTCTCTGCCCCTCTCCGGTGCAATCACATCCGTCCTATAATGTGGATCCCAGAACTGCACACAACACTCGAGATGTGGCCAAATCCATGGGGGTTATATAGTTCTGACATAGCCTCCCACTCTTAAACTCTATGTCACGGTTAATAAATGTCAAATATCTGAACCACTTTATCCATTTTATTGTACAAGTCAAGTGGCCTGTTCTTCCTTGAAATGGTATGCTCACCTGAGAGGGTGTCTAGATTAAAACACTCATCTGAATTTAAACACATCTGACAATGTGCCACTCCCTCAGTAAAGATCTTTAAACAGCACCTTTCATGACCTTGACTACCTTGAAAGATAAGGCAGCAGGTACGTGTGAAAACCTGCCCATGATAGTCAGCCACTCACCATCCTGACTCCCTCGGTGTCACTGGGTCAAAATCCTGGAACTCGCTCCCTAACGGCACCGTGTGGGGGTCCCTACACCACACAGACTGCAGGGGCTCACCCCCACCTTCTCAAGGGGGCAACTGGGAGGAAACAGGGCAATAAATGCTGACCCAGCCAGCGACTTCCACATTATTGTGAACAAGTATGTCGAAATACAGGCATCTTTCCATCTGTAAATAAAAGGATGCTAACTTGATTTGGCTTTGATCTTATCACTTGGGGTTTGGGGTCCTGTAACTGGACGTTTATCCCTCAAAGGCAAAGTGGGACTAAGAGTTTATTTTAATAAAAGCTGGCTTGTGGGCGTGACAATGTTGTCACTTTTAAAGGTGATTTTGTCTTTTTTTTTAAAAGAGGTTGTAAGGCAGAGGCGCCGGACTAGCTACTGAAGACGACTTAAGTAAACAACTTGTGAGGTCTTTGGGTTCTTATTTAAAAGTTGGAGCAATGGAAGTAGCCTGAATGGGTGTGGCCAGCTCTCACAGAACCAGATTTCTGGGTTTGGGTTTTCTCAGTATCATCAGAAGCCTTTGGGGTCTCGAAAGAGTTGGAAGCTTCACTGAATGTATCCTGGCTGCTATTCTTTCTGAATTTCCTCTTGATGTTTTTTTTCCTCCTGGATTGGAGAACTGCATGTGAGAATCTGTGTCTGAATTTTACCTTTTTGCCAAGGGTTGTGATTATGGGATACTACTATATTGGAACCATTAATTAGTAATAGGTACTGTATCTATTATTTGGTTAAGTTTCCATTAGTTAGGTTACTCTAAATTCCTCTTTCTTTTGTTTGTATTTTAACTATAGTGTTTAAATAAATTGTGTTTTACTTAACGTCAAGTAGTTTGACGAGTCGCATCTTCATATCTACCTTAAAAATCAGAAGAAGTTAGGGTCTAGGTTACCCTCATAAACTATTTTGACAGGGTCTGGTCTGGTCCATAATAGATGAACTAAACTGGTCTTATCATTCAAAGATTCAAGACAGATCAGAGCCCTTTCTTTCTGATATTGTGCTTTATGTTACAATCCAATCTGAAGACCTTTCTGCTCTTAGCAAACACACAGTTTCATGTCAGAAGCTCAACCCAAAATGAAGGACATTGAGTTTGCAGGCATGTTTTGTTTCTCTTCAGTTTATTCCAAGAATACCACAAGTGTGAAATATTACATTGTTCTAAATGCTTCTCTCTGAAATGTACAGCACTAAACACGTACATGTCTGAATAGGTGAACAACAGCACTCAGAGCTCGTGGTTTTAAAGTAAGCTCCGAAACACAGAAATAAAAGCGAAGTTCTGTGATCGCTGGAGATCTGAAATAAAAACAGAAAGCGCTGGAGAAATTTAGCAGGTCTGGCGGCTTCTGTGGAGAGAGAAATATAGTTAACATTTTGAATCTGATCTGACTTTCCAAGTTTGAAGAACAGTCATAGAGACATACAGCACAGAAACAGACCCCTCGGTCCAACCAGTCCATGCTGACCATGATCCCAAACTAAACTAGTCCTACCTGCCTGCTCCAAATATCCCTCCAAATATTTCCTAATCATGTATTTTTCTAAGTGTCTTTTAAATGTTGTACCCACATCCACCACTTCCTCAGGAAGTTCATTCCACACGTGAACCACCCTCTGATTAAAAAACATACCTATGACTTTATTAAGTCTGTCTCCTCTCACCTTAAAAATGTGCCCCCTAGTCTTGAAATCCCCCATCCTAGGAAAAAGACAAGTACCACCAATTCTATCTATATCCCTCATGATTTTGTAAACCTCCATAAGGTCACTTCTCAACTTTCTATGCTCCAGTGAAAAAAGTCCCAGCCTATCCAGCCTCTCCTTGTAACTCAAACCTTCCATACCTGGCAACATGCTGGTAAATTTCTTCTGAACCCTCTCTACTTAAATAACATCCTTCCTATAACAGAATTGGACACAGTGCTCCAGAAGTGGCCTCACCAATGTCCTGTACAAACTCAACATGACGTCCCAACTCCTATACTCAAAGGATTGATCAATAAAGGCAAGTCTGCTAAATACCATGATGTAAACTTCAAAGAACTATGTACCTGAACCCCGTGAAACATTTGCTCCGGTTTCTTCTCCACCAATGCTGCCAGACCTGCTGAGTTTCTCCAGTGCTTTCTGTTTTCTCTTCTGAAACACAGAAATTGCTTGTTTTATACATCTCTCACTTGGTCTGACCTCATTCAGGGCATGTTCGGAGTCACGAAAGAAGGATTTCTGAAATACTTCAAACAAAATTGACAAAGTCAATCAATGACGATGGGAGTCAAATTCCACAGAACTTGGAAAGCGCAGGTAGAAACAAGCGAAAACAAGATCAGGACCATAAACTGACAGGTCACTTCACCGAGACTGATGAGGGCAGCGTTAAAATATCTGCAGGTTGTGATATTTATCAAAAGATGAACAGACACAGCGAAATCATCTCAATCAAGTAAAACTGTGACAAAGCACGATTACCTCAAAGATCAAAAGTGACAGGCCGACAGAAAATTAGAAAGAGCCGGAAACAAAACAGAGGTCTGCATTTACATAGCACCTTTCACGTTCCTGGGGACTTTTGAAAGAACGGGCGCAACAAGGCAAAATCTCTTCCGAAGGATGGTTCCTGGTGTATCAAATGAGGCGGGCAATCAGTTCTCCCAGAGGTGGAGACACTCCCAGAGGATTCTGCTAGCCTCCTCCCGCTGCGCAATTCTTTCGAGAGAGTCTCCAGTCGAGCAGCGAGGGCAGACAGAACCCGCAGGGTGGACGGGGACCGGATCAATGTCTCGATTTGTCGGGACGAATGTTTTGTCGGGGGTGGGGAGGGATCGGTGGTGGGGAGGTGATCCCGTTCCATCTGGAGCAAACAGTGATGAGGGATTAACGACAAGCATGGAAAATTGCTTGAAAAATTCAGCGCCAGAGGTGAAGCATGTGAGTATTAGAAGGCGACCGACGGCCCACTAGAGGTTTGACTCTTCCTGAACTGTCGGGATTCTGTAAATTCTGACCATTTGCTTTTCCTATGAAGGGGCTTCATTGCAAACTTGATTAGCCTTGCTAAGTCTTGGATTAAGTAAGGACTAATCGACATCTAATGCAAGTCATATTAGTGCGGGAAGCTGAGGGATGTCTCTCCAGGAAAGGTCGCAATCGAACGGGTGGCCCTGCCACTCTGTTGCGTGACGCCACTAAGCGCTGGTGTCGATCACCATGTGCCTGTAGATGATGGTGTTCCCTTTGAAGCTGGGAGCCAGCACCAAGTGCATGCCATCGATGGACACCATCTGAAAACGCCGGGCCGCCCGCACACTCCAGTCCTCGAAGCGGCTGAAGACCCGCTTCTCGGCATCCCAGAGATAGACGTGAGAAAAGGAGAAATCGCTTCCCAGCACCATGTACTGCCAGTGTGCCACGCGGAAGGGCTCAGCGATCATGGAGCCCCTTGAGGGCAGGGCCTGGATCTCAGTGAAGCGCTGGCCCTCCCACCTCACCAGCTTGGAGTCGCCGATGAAACGGACCAGGCAGAGGTACACGGCCTTCTGGAGCTGGAAATGTTTCACGGTGTGCACGTCCAACATGTCGGGGATTTCGGTGAGATAGGTGAACCGCCGCTGCGCCTTGTTCCACTGGTAGACGACCGGCGTTTGAGTGCTGCTGGTAAGGATCAGCTTGGGCTTGTTGTCTGTCTCGATGTATTCGGCGTCTGTGTCCCGATGCCAGGGGTGGAGGGAGTGGTGAGAGTAAAACCCCACTTTGTTCCACTTGTAAACGGTGGTGGAGCCGGCCTTCGAACTGTCCACGATCACAAAGTACCACTCCCCATCAATAACGAAGCTCTCGATGTCGTTGGGCTTGCGGATCTTGGCGGTGTCAATGTCCTGGATCTTGACAAACGTGCCCCCGTAGCTGTCCCACCGGTAGATGTGGGATCCTCGGAACAACTGCGCCAAGACAACATACAGCTGCCCCTCGATCACCAGCGGCTTACAGTACACAGCGGCGTGAGCTGTCAGAAATAAAAAGACAAGGGTTACATCTACACTGTGCTGTCTGCGGATGAGACCGTACACATCAGAGGAAGTGATGCAATTTCATGTGATCTTGCTCTCGCAGCCTTGTGGCAAGATGAAATTGCAGCAAGATTTTTCTTGAATGAAATTAACATGACAGAGTGTGAAAACATTTATCAGCAGCATTGCAAGAGCAAGAATATATTTCACGCCGAAAGCACAGGGAAATTAAGCTTAAAAAAAGCATCTCCTTATCCTCATTTAATTGAGGTTCCTCGTCTACATGCACTCTCTTAAAAGATGCTGCCCTGGGCAAACATTAAACCAGCGTCTCTACTTCCTCAAGAGGCTAAGGAAATTTGGCATGTGCACAAGGACTCTGACCAATTTTTATACATGCATCATAGAAGGCATCCTACCTGGATGCATCACAGTGTGGTTTGGCGACTGTTCTTCCCAAGACTGCAAGAAACTACAGAGAGTGGTGAACACAGCCCAGGCCATCACTCAAACCAGCCTCCCGTTCATTGACTTCATCTATACCTTTTGCTGCCTTGGAAAAGCAACCAACATTATCAAAGACCCCTCCCACCCCGTTTATACTCTCTTCCACCCTCTTCCATTGGGCATATGATACAAAAGTTTGTATACACGTATGAACAGATTGAAGAACAAATTCTTCCCCCCTGTTATTAGACTTCTGAATGGACCTCTGAAATTTTAAATCTCCTGTTGATCTCGCTCTCTGTGCAACTTCTCTGCAACCGTAACATTGTATTCCTCATTCTATTACCCTAATGCACTTTCTGTGCTATGATCTGCCTGTATTGCACGCAAAACAAAACTTTTCACTGTACTTAGGTACATGTGGCAGAAATAAATCAAATCAAATCTTGCCTATCTTAAGAAAAGCAAAACACTGCAGATTGTAGAGATCTGAAATACAGACAGAAAGTGCTGCACAAACGCAGCATGTCTGGCAGCATCATTAGAAAGAGAAAGAAAAACAGAGTTACTGTCATTGAGTCTGATGACACTTCTTTGGAAGATTGCGTATTGAAGGAAAGTTATATCGGAGTTGAAAACGTTAACTGTTTCTCTCTCCACAAATGCTGTAGAACGTTAGAGATATTAATCAGGAGCGGCTCTTGCATACATTAGGCTCAATACTTGATCGTCCAGCTTCTGGTAATTGACATCCATCATCCTGGAGATATTAGACCAGGTGGACAACCAATCACATTGGAGCCTCTGCCACCTTCAGACAGCTCAATGAAAATTCCTCAGGCTTACCAGATATGTTCTCCGATGTCCTGAAGACCATTTCAACATGATCCCACATGAAGAACGTGCAGTTCCCATTATTAGCCTGGGCAAATGTTACAAAGAGGTCATCAGCATACACAAAGGACTCAACAGAGACAGCCTGGAAGGGCAGGGTTTCATAAACGCTGAATTCTGTAAAGATAAATGAAGGAGCTCGGATAATTGCTGTTTGTAATATTCGATCAGGGCATTACGACACTAGAGTTCACTGTTATGTAGCTACAGTACGTACAGAGCATCAGATACAGATCTAACTCTTCTATCAGCAGGAATAAACTCCTAAACTTAAATATAAAGCTTCCTCTACGCTGTCCCAACAAACACTCCCAGGGGTTCAGACAGCACGGTGTTAAATACAGAGTAAAGCTGCCTTTACACTGTCCCCAAACACTCCCAGGAGAGGGACAACGTGCATTAGATACAGAGTAAAGCTCTCTCTACACTGTCCTCCATCAAACACTGCTAGGACAGGGACAGCACGGGGTTAGATACAGAGTAAAGCTCTCTCTACGCTGTCTCCCATCAAACACTCCCAAAGACAGGGACAGCAGGAGGTTAATACAGAGTAAAGCTCCCTCTACACTGTCTTTGTCAAACACTGCCAGCACAGGGACAATGCTGGTTTAGATATACATTAAAGCTCCCTCTACACTGTCCTCCATCAAACACTCCCAGCACAGGGACAAAGCTGGTTTAGATACAGAGTAAAGCTCCCGCTACACCGTCCCCCCAGCGCTCCTCAGACAGGGACAGCATGGGGTTAGATACAGAGTAAAGTTCTCTCTACACTGTCCCCCATCAAACAGTCCCAGGTCAGGGATAGCACGGGGTTGGATACAGAATAAAGGTCTTTCTACACTGTCCCCCATCAAACACTCCCAGGTCAGGGACAGCACAGGGTCAGATACAGAGTAAAGCTTTCTCTACACTGTCCCCATCAAACACTCCCAGCACAGGGACAATGCTGGTTTAGATACAGAGTAAAGCTCCCTCTACACTGTCCCCCATCAAACACT